GTACCATAATATTCAACAAATGTTCTGAGCAGGCTTCCTTGCACATTTGCCGCAAGCTGATTCGGAAAGATTTGCACAGCGTGTGCCAGGGATAGGTAGCACTGTTACCGCCGAATCGCATCCCATATAATAGAGCTACCCTCCTTTTCATCCCTGTAGGTTTGATTGACTGGTGCCAGACCCGTTTTGGACGAAAATATTACCAACTTTCGAGAGTACTAGTTGTTTCGCAAGTTTACACACCAAAAAGGAGCTCAGGTACCTCGCAATCTGGGTAGAAGTAGAAGGAAGGCGTGGCGCACCCCAAGGATTCCGTTGAGAGCTAGCTCGAACGGTCAGCCCACACTTTTCATTATAGTTGCCGATGGAAGCGGTTGACGCTAAATCCAAAGATGTTCCCGGTTCTCCCTAGATCTCATTTTTTAAAAATCGATCGCATAGAGTTTGTCTGTGAACGTGAGGACACAAATTCTTACTTAGACAAAGCGTACAAATCTCAAACTATTTCGTACTCAGTTAAGTGCAGCAAATAGCATGAATGGCAATGAAGAACCTCCTAAAAACGGGATCACTTTTGAAGCATCCGCTCCGCTCTGCTCATGGTAAATTATTTAGAAACCAGCTGTTCCCTCGCATAACGCTCATGGACTGCACTGGGCCATGGCAGCAGTGTTTGTTGTTGGGGATTTGGCTGGCGGTGGAATGATTGCACTACCAAAAGCGCTGGTCAATGCAGGTACGTATAATTTAGAATGAAACTATTGCCTGAACCATTGTATGACTGTAAGTTCTACCGATAAAGTGAGTGATTGCTTCATAGGCATCTACAAGGAGAGCAGGGTAGCATAGCTCTACTCGGAGGGAGGCAGTGAAGTGTACGAGGATGTGAGCTCTCTCCTCATTGATTAGCTCCCTGAATGGCATCGTCTAGGTTACTTTAATTACTGGGGCACTTGTGACTAGGTATTGTTTCCCCGCCGCAAGCCTCCCCGTGACCAGGATCAACCCCACGTTGGTACAAGTACCAACGGGGGGGGGGGTCGTAGTTTGTTGACGTTTGTAGTGGGGGGGGTCGTAAAAATTTTGCTAAAAGTCCCAACGATAGGACCGACCCTGCATGTGCGATGTCTACGTCTTGCTCGTCTCTGTTATCTTTCGCCTCCATGACGACCGCTTCGTCGCCCTGTGGCCCAGCTTCTCCTCGGCTCGCACAGTGCTAAAAACTTGTTGCTGAAAGGCACACTGAAGACTTTTATCCTCAAAATGGGTGACGTGGCACATGTGGTTTCATTTTTCATCCCTGGTGATACTACCGAGGCTCGTAGGAAGGCCCGAGGGCCCACCCTAGTGGTAATGCAGTCCGACGGCACCACCATTTAGCTGACCAAGAGGAATGTGCTTCTAGCGTGTAAGTTAATTTCCGGGAGTACTAGTGGCTTTGAAGCCAAAAATCCCACAGATTCCTCTGTACTCTCAAACCCACAATCCCACATTCTAAACTACAGAAGCTAAAAAATACAACTTTTGTTGTTAGCAACACATTGCCCTTGACATAGGGAGAGGCTTCTGAAGTGCATACATGTGGCACCAACTTTTGATTAAGTGGGGCCCGTTTCTGGGCGCACATTGCGGAGACAATTTTTATATTAGGTTGTCGGAAAAGTCTTTGCGCATTTGGCAACTTTTTTTCAAAATTGTTTTTCTTCTTTAGAAAAACCAATCCATTTGCTAACATTATCGTTCACCAATAGCAGTGGACTTCGTTGGCAGCAGCTCTCCGTGAGCGAAACATTTGCAGCCTCATGAGCTTTCAATGTTGCCTCCCAAGTTGCAGTACTCGAATCGGCGTTGCAATCTTTTGTTCTACGCATCCGAGCCAGTCGTGCTTTCGAGAGCGGTAAATCTGAGGATCCCACTTCTTGACACTACCAACAAAGTTGGCGGATCAAGCGATAGACGGGCGGGAAATCAAAATATTCTTGCAGAATTTAATGGTCTCAATAGCGTGTAGTCAGTCAGATCTCAAAATATGCTTTCGCCATAATTTCACTTCTTTTAGAGGCTATATTGAGGAACGGTCATTGTGATCTGAAAGAGCTCCGCCAATTACCATGCATTGCACTAAGCACTCTCCAATCGAATTCAGAATGCACTCGTCAATGAGGGTGGCAGGCCGATCAGATTTGTGGTTTTTTTCGCAAGTATCTCGAACTCGGCAACCAAATAATCACCATATTGTGAAAGATAGTTCAGAGGATAATCACGACATGTAGAACTCCCACTGCTTCGCTCCTATCAACGCATTTTAGAGGCTTATAAAGGCAGGACCAGTTAGACATACCTTCGGTGAAAGGCGATTTTTAAGCTTCAAAAGCTGCGAAATGCTACGACAGAAATGCTGTGAAGAGAGCATTAACCACCGCTCATATGCGTATGACAGTGAATGTTTCAAAACAATTCGAAAAGATTTTGCAAGGTGAAAATGAAAATGCGCAAGAACTTTTCCGACAACCTAATATAGTATTCCATCATTCTAAAATGTAGCTGAATTTAGGCCATTAGTTCCTGGTCCTGATTCTAATTTCTGCTTGTGTCCTTGTGTTTCTGGATAATACTGGTCCTTCACTGCGCTTCAAATTGGACCGATGTTTGCAGAAAAGGTTGGAACGATTGCCCTGTAGCTAAGCCTAAGGAGCATTCCTCCGATAAGTGTCGTAGGTCCGAAGAATGCGAAATGTACGCAATGGGAATATGTAAGTCCCCCCTCTGAGTACAAATGCGGGTCCTGGCAGGGCCGTCACCCCACTGCAGAAAACTTAGGACCAGAAGCTTGGTGAGGGAAGCGCCTTGGGCAAGGATGTGACGCAACCTGTTGTTCTCCTCATGGCACTTGTTGGCCTCTCCAAGGCTTTGCACTAGTGCCACCTACCAGCAGTTTTCCAATGCCCTGTATGAATGTTCCCTCCTGAGGTCATGAGCGCCAAGAAACTTATGAAGTGTCTTTCAGATGGGCAGTGTACCGCGGCGTTTGTCGAAAGCCTTATGGAGAGATGGCGTTCCGTGCTTGCGGACAGCGAATGAGGTAATTGGGTAACTACTGAACTTCAGAGATCGTGTTGGCAAGCTGTGTCAAAGGTTTGTACACATCAATAATGAACTGTACTTTGAAAACCAGCGCATTCGAGCGTAAAAACAAGACAATGCGAAATTTCCATGGACCCAAAAACATGACCGGGTCTGGCTGACGTGTCATGCGGTTTCTATAGGGCTTGCTTTTTTAGACCATGAACTTTCTTTCCCCTAAGTGGGTTGATCCTTCCCTAAATGCTAGTCTTCTGCTTCCCCACAAAGAAGAGGTCACAGATCACTATACTGATGAAGCCTGTGATGCGACTCCGAGGTGGGGAAAAGTAACCCTGCGGGAAAGGGAGCACTGAGTGTGATGGTGGGCACCCTTTTAGGATGCGATAGCATACAGCCCCTGATTTAAGCATCTCGAAAAAAAAAAAGCAGCTCTGCAACCATTCTTAGACGGCTTGCCAGAAACCCTCCATCTATCGAACAGACCGTCACGGAAAAACCACGGTTCCTAGCAAAATGAGTATCCGGCAATAGAAATGCACGTAATCGTGCTACTCGCACAGTGAATATAAGTGCTGCTCATAATAAGGGATTCCCAAGAGAGTACAGAGCGCACAAGCGTGTGCTTGTCCCCCTCAATCCTTCCATTATTACGTCGAATTTCCGGATTTTTTCCGACTAGTTCAACAAACAGTTAAATAAGTCGCCACATTAGGTAGGAGCAGGGTCAACCGTCCGTTGGACAAAGTCCAACGCGACGACGAGAGTAATGCCGAGAGTGAACGTACGCACGGAGACACAGACGGCTCGCGGGTGGCGAGAGTGAATGCCGGCGCGGAGAGCGGTCAACATCGGTCCAACGTCGCTCCAATATCGGTCCAACGTAACGGTTGACCCTGGGTAGGAGTATATGGGGTATAGTGGGAAATAGTAAGGCGAAAACCCACTCAAGTATCATTTAAGATAATTACTAATGAGAATCAGAGCAACCAGTACTAGTCATAACAATAAATTGGAGTGGGTTTGCGGATATTAACTGGCACTTGCGAGTTTGGTTGACGGCAGTAATCGAGTGGTGAAGTTGACGTCACTTATGGGTCCCATTACGCGGCTGTAAGTGTTTTTTCTGCGAAGAAATCGATGCCACCCATCCCTTTTCCGCCAAAATCTAAGCGACTATGTCTACGGGGCAAACAGTTGTGTAAAGGGGCTCCTCTTCAAGAGCACAAGGAGAAAGCCGTGAACATCTACACAGACGTATGTTCTCATTATTTTCAGACGATCACGCCTACTGAATTCACAGAACTCGTGAAAAGCCCCTTTCAAAAATACAGTATTTCACAAAGCGCCTTCAAATAGCCAGTTCAAATTGTAAATGCAGGATTTTCATCGCCGTGATGGTGTGTTTGACTCAATTCGGTTTTGCTACCGTACTTATTCTGCTTGCCGCAAAGAACACAGCAATCCTACTGCACTTCTTTTTCACCATCAAAGTGGGTCTCCGTTGAATGATTTTTTCAGTATCTCTTCAGTATTTCGTATTTTTTAAAAATTCCTGATAAAAAGATTCTTAAAGATTAATTTCTGCTGGCTTATCGTGATCGTCGGATTGATCGTGTGGCCAGCAACAATGTTGAAGAGTCCAATGCATTTTTGGTTTGTTTCTTCTCCTTTTTGGAAGCCTTGAATGGGAGCAGTTTTTTACCGCTCCTCGTGGACTTATTTTTATTCTGATAAACATTACTTTGCAAAACCACTTGAGAAAATATCAGTTTTCTAGGCAGGTAGCCGTCTTCTCAGCGCTCTCCAGTTCCATTGCTGTTTGCCTGCTGGTGGTCGGATTCATACATGACGCTCCAGTCTGTGCACAGGTTCATCTTCACCTCTTGAGAATGAAACCTTTGAAGCTGTAGCTGGTTTCTTCTACCAATTTAGATTTTACATTTTTATATTTACATTCCTCTGAACTGAAACCAATGGGTGTGTTGGCAACGTCGGAAAAAAGGCTAGAGGCATCGAGTTTAATCACCTCAGATTGGAATTTTCTCGTCAAGATCAGCCAAGCTGGTCAGCGATTTCAAAGGAGGGTAGACTGCAACCCAGCTCGCCCCACGTTCCTCCTTGTAGTATCATATAGGTAAACAGTTGTTTCTATCGAAATGAAAGCAGTATGGCTGGTGCATCCGAAAGGTGTATTCACCAGCTATAAACACTCCATTGGTGGATAACCTTAGGAACATAAAAAAAGTAAAGAAATTGATCATTATTGTTGAGTGACACTAATTATTTACTGAAAGTCTTGAGCAAATTCCTAGGGTTTCACCAAAACTAGTATAGGGTTCAAAATAATTCAGTTTCGAAAATATGGGTTGTAGCGAAATGTCTTCAGAGTATTAGTGCAGCGGACAAGAGAATCATCCGGTCGCGTTGCCGCGTGGGTCCCTTGGGCGGCGTCGCGATCGCGGGTTTCTGAAGCCAAAGCTTGGAACATCGAATTCCTGCGGTCCACAGGCAAGGGTCAACCGTTACGTTGGACCGATATTGGAGCGACGTTGGACCGATGTTCACCGCTCTCCGCGCCGGCATTCACTCTCGCCACCCGCGAGCCGTCTGTGTCTCCGTGCGTACGTTCACTCTCGGCATTACTCTCGTCGTCGCGTTGGACTTTGTCCAACGGACGGTTGACCCTGGTCCCGTGGGCACTTTGACTGTGGCAAACCTCAAAATCCCATGACTGCGATTTGGCTTCTTAAGGTAGAAAATGCCGTGAAAAAGTTTGTTTTCGAAGTTCATTATCGCAATATTTGAAAAACGCGGAATGGAAAAAGGTTCGAGGGATTTGGAAATATCCGCATTGGTTGAAGTGAATATTAAAGGACGAGCCTGCTTGACATCACTTCAGAAACTCGTCCATTGTAGTAGTGGCGTCGTAGTCATAACCAGTACCTGGGAATCCGGACGATCCGGCACAACCCAGGCAGAGGTCGTGTGAACGCTTCCCTTCGGTCTGTAGGATAGACCCTAGAGGACAATCACAAATGTGGCGTTCCGTGCACGGAAACCAACCGACAAGAGCGCTTGGGCCTTGCAAAGTAAGCTGCTGAAGCTGCAGATTTTTTCTCTTATCAGGCTGTTGTCTGGCGCTCTCTCATCTGTAGCGCTCTCTCGCCTCATACTCTCCTCTCCGCGCTTAGTCTCTCATTCCCTTAGCACAGCCGATTAGGAAGGTGAGTGAGCCCTTAACCTGAGCGTTTTCGACGGATTCTTTTCCTTTTTTCTTACTGCCGGCCCATTTCGCACCAATACATTCGCATTCGTGTGCAAGAGCCACACCAGTGTGATCCTGGGGCATGCCTTTAACATAGCCGGGTTCAGCCTCTGGTCCGCTATACGTTGCCTGCTTCAGTGGAAGGAACGCGTCGAAAGTGCTGAATGATCCTTGGGCTATTTTCAACTTTGTTAACTACTGTCAGGACAAACACCTTCCTTGCTCTAAATAATTATTCAAGAAATTCAGGACACCTCCTATCGTGATTTTGATCTGCGAAGCTTCTTCATGGCTTACGGTACAATGGCATTCGCATTTGGTGGTCATGCTGTATTTCCGACAATCCAAAATGACATGCGAAAACCACGTCTCTTCAGTCGTTCCGTTTGGGTTGCGTATATTCGTGGGTTATTTTTTTAAATACCTGAAATTCAACGTTTGGGAAACTCACCGACAAGTAGAATTCAGACTTAGCAAGAGAAATGTGTGATATATTGGGTTTTCATAGTGATCGAAGGCGCGGATCTGATTCGATATCATTGTTAACGTTTTCTCTCTCAGGGATATAGCAGGGTACCCAAGCATAGAAATTGTGGCATCGTCGTGACTCGAAAGTGCGCGACTAGGGTGCTGAGGACCTGCTTTAGCCGTGCCCATTTTTACTCGTCCGCAGCATGCGCAGTGTCTGCGCACTCTCGGACGACATACTCTCTCGCGTATTCCCTCTCTTCGCCACGCTATGTCTCTCGCACCAATTAGATCGTAACCTTAAGCGATGTCAATTTTCCCTTCAAACGATAACCTGAGAGTTTACTATCCTTTAGAAGGCAAGTTAGTCATTATTGCTACAGGCTTATATTATTTCTTCTTTAAAAATACTGGGCCACTGAACACTTTATTCATGTCAGGGCTCAAAAGGATAGTAACTGATTTCTGCTTCTAAGGATCCACTTTCGGTCTACCGTCAATACGTTGCGGTGCTTCGTTATCCCTACATAGAAAAACTTACGTTCAGGATTGTTATTTACTACGTCACTGTCGCCGTAATGGGCTACTCAATCTATGGAGCATCTGTAGGTGATGCTATCATACCATCAGTTCAACTGCAGTGGGTGCAGCAAACCGTGAGATTTTGATTACTTTCGCAATTGAGTCATTTCAAAACGTTCAAAATCGTTATAATTGTGCCTTGACGTGGCCCATGCGCGAGGAGGACAAGGTGCAGGGAGCCAAGTATATGGCCCCCAGCACGTCTCAAGGGGAGTCACTCACCTCACGAGCCCTACAACCATACGGTTCCAAAGGTTTGTCGCCTTAGGCTTCTACGGCGACACACTTCAACGCCGTCGAAGCGATTAGATCAGCAACTTACCGCCATCACACCATGTTCAATGCGATAAGTTACAAATTCTGCTCGCTCCAAAAAAAAAACCACACCTATTTACCTTGAGAAGTAGGGTTTTGATTAGGAGGTAAGTACTTCGGCGAGCACATAGTGACGCGAGGGCATTCCTGATTAGTTGCTTGGGCGTTCTAAAGCATTTTTGCGGCCGAATCAAATAACTCAGTTATGGTTGATTCAAAATTGTTCACACTGGCTAGTTGATTTATGGCTCACGTTTTGTAGCGCTCTCCTACATAAACTGGGTGGCATTCCTTCAGAAACTCATTCACGACGGTACCCCACCAAAGAAAGCGGAGGAGATGAGTGCTTAAACACCCTTGGTAACATCCAGTTTAGTGGCAACGCCGAATTCTCCCATCCGGTGACCTCTCATTGCGAAACTGGAAAAACGTCGGTCCTCTGAAGAATGCGTGGTGCCAATTTCCTTTAAAGCGTGGCGCCTGCGGGTGAATCCTATGCTATACAGTCGCAGTCACGTCTCTACCTCCCCCCAGTAAGATGCAATCCTGATTCAAAAAACTTTCATAGTCTCGGATAGAATTGCACATTCCAGACAATTTTGTGTCCTAGGAACTCGTTTCTCTCGGTTTATGGGACCTGCTCAAAATAATCCAACAAAATAACAGTTTGTAAATATGCTTATCGACAATTAAGGCTTTTAGGTAAACATGATGATCGCGCTGCATGTCATTACAACGATCGTCATAGTATTCTCACCGTTGACGCAACAAGTGGAGGAAATTCTGCGAATACCCCATCGTAAGGTCCTTCGACTAAATTCTTTACTTACACGTATCTGCCGTCATCGTGATTCCGCGTGTTGCCCAAATTTAGCTCTATTGCCTGAAATTCAATAAAAGGATAAAGCATTTGCCGTTGATCAATCCCTTTTTGGGATGCGGCACGCATTCTACTTCCATTTGTACATTCGTAGTGGCGTTTGAATGCGATGTGGCCTATACAATGACTTGCGGGGGCCAGCCGATGTCAAGTCAGTGTTTTTATCCTCCCAGACAAGTCTGGTACCAATTAACCGACCCCGGAGGGATGGAAGGCTTGGTTGGCCCGGGCGACTCACGACCCAGGATTTGATCCCCGGACCGCTCGCGTGGTGAGCGCGCCACTTGTCACTACACCACTTCCGCCCCAAATTAAATGAGACGGATCAAAAATGTGAGTAGCTTTCTCAGCAGTGTGGAGGTGCGCCACGCTTTTGTATTTGAGTTGGGATTCTGATGACGTTCGCCTACCAAGAGCATACGGCGTTCGGCTAGTGACATGGCATTAGAAGCAACATATTATAATTATACCAAAAGCAACTCGGGCTCCAGAGAGCACACAACGGAGTCCGCCCTTCTAATGAACCCCGCCTCTCACGCAGTGAAAGCAGAAACAAAAGCCTGTCCACATGTCCTCTCAGAACGGATACACAAATCGAAGCTGGTTGTAGCTTTTTCCACATTGCCAAGAATTTTTCCCATTCTGTCAAGGAACTGGATCTAATAATAAGCTCTTTTTCATCAAAGCCAAGGCGGGATAGACGCTTCCATCTCCGGTCTCGTTCAAATGATGTTCAATTCGTGAGAAGACTTTAGCAATTTGCAGATTTCGGATGGCAGCGTTTCATAGTTCGATCTGTACTCTTCTGGACAGTCATATTTGTGGCGCTGTCCCTTCCCAACTTTGGTCCCCTCTTAGATTTGGTACGAGCTGCATGAACTATAATACATATATTTGTGCTCAATCTCGAAATCAAGTTATTTTATGATTCAGATAGGAGCTTCAACAATGTCTCTGATGACGATGGTCATGCCCAGCATCTTCTATTTATTTCTGTATGCGTCGAATATTAAACGGAAGAATGCGATCAACGAAGGAAAAATACTTCCAGACTCTCCAGATAATGAAAGGGCCACACTCAAGGAGTATTTGATTACAATTTTAGGCGCTATCGCAAGATACGGGGCATCCTTTACGACTGAGCCTAGGAGAGGGGCAAGAACTACGGAAAAAGATCGCTCACGCACTGTGGAGTCTTTCCTCTCCTGTTCGAGGCTTAGTTCTGATGTATTATGCGAGTAAAATGCATTACCACCACAATGTCCCGGTATTTTGCGATAGTGCCCAATTTTATATTTCAAGTGGCTCAATTCTGCTAAGCTTTACAAACACAATTTTTGATCGATCTATGCGCATCATCTCTCATACTTCTTTCAGCATTTTCGCCCTCGTCCCGAAGCCAATTCTAGTCGCAAACATTCTTTCTCTCAGTAAGTCCTTCACACTTTCCTCAGTTTCAGAAGTTGGTGTACTTCTTTATCAAGTTTGTTGAAAGCAAAATACAAAATTATTCGCAACATGGATGATATGCCATAATCCATCGGCTCTATGGCGCAGCTCCAAGCATTTTTCCTCGGGCGACACCCAAACAAAAAGTCACTCCAGGATCGCTCGAATTGCGAGCGAAACGCTCAGGCGCTAACAAGCCGCTAGCGAATCCACGGGTTCGCAGAGTCCGACACGGGCGCGATGGCTACGTGGCAGTACCGTGACTGCAGCTTCATTGACGGAATACAATTTGAAGGGGGTACGACCACGTTCCTTCACCAGTGATATTTCACTTACCATACCGTTCCTCGTCACTGCACCATTGCCTGAAGACGGATCTTACGATGAAAAAGCAGCCCATTGGAAATTAGTAGAGTAGCGATGGTCAGTGATGCAAAAGAAGAAAAACCGAGAAAAGTGGCCTAGAACCCGAGAAATGGGACCCCTTCCTTGCCCGTTGATTTGCGCATTGATGCGACTCTCATCGGCTTAGCGCGTACTAGTCGGTGTTTTTCTTCGAAATATTTTTTCACTTTCAATTATGTGTGAAACGAGGTCCTAAGAACGTGAAATGGTACGACGATCAATATCTGCAATGCTACCATGGAATTGAGCGATTGTTTGAAAATTTTTAAACTTCTCGTCGCTCTTCTTCGTAGCCAAACTATTACAATAGAAGTGGTTTACTATCTTCGAAGTAGCCGCTGTTTGTGCAGCAGCATTCTGTAGTGTAGCTAGACAGCTCGTTTTCACATTATTTTAGCAATAGATTACATAATTTAGCTTTGGAATAATCGGCGGACTAGCAGCTACTGGATTCTCCGTTGTGAAGCTCACCAGCGCAGAGGTTGCAGCGCCGTGTTACATTCAGTACATTCGACAAGGTACCTCGCAGGTTATAAAGACAGTACAGTTTCAGTTGCTCTCGTTTCTGTGAACCATTTTCTACAGCATCACCTTTTCGGAGTTTTGAGAGCAGCCGTATAAGATATTATAGTAAAGCTCCTTGTCAGTCGAAGAACTGATAAGCGTGAAGAGGGCCTATCGGAGTTGAGGACTTAGATACACTGTCCCGATTCTCTGGCCAGGGACGGTACCGTAACATACAGCCAAGAGGAGATGGCCGAGCTGATTTGCAACTTTTACAGCAACCTCTTTGGCAGTCAGGTAAAGGTGGAGCCTACCGAGAAACGATGTGACGGATTAGACGAAGGTATTCCACCGATCCTACGAGCAGAAGCTGTAGCTGCTCTTTGCTAGACGAAGAAGGCAAGGCACTCGGGATAGATCCGTGTCTGGGACTGTAGAGTCTTCTCAATGCTGATAGGAGACAGTGACGACCTCTCCCGCGTCTTCGAACCGCGTACTTGCGCGAAAAGAAAGTATCCCTGACGCACCTAAAGGGGCTCTACTACGCTGCTCATTCACAAGAAAGGACCGCGCCACAATCTGAACAACTTCCGCCAATATGTCTCCTGTCCCAGGTGTTGAAGGTCTTCTCCCGCCTTGTCCTCAACAGAATACGCCGTTGCATCGACGAATACATGAGTGTAGAACAAGCCGGGTTCCGTTCATGCTTCTCCACTATTGACCATATTCATGTAATATCACAGCTGACGGAACGTTGCCGCGAGTACCGCACCCCACTGTGTCTTCTGTTTATCGATTTCAAAAAGGCCTTCGACACAGTGGAGCATGAGAGTGTATACAACGCCATGCGCGAGTGCGGTATCCCCGAGCCCTATATTAGAATCACGCGGCAGTGCAACACGGACTGTTATACCGATATCAAACTCATAAAAACACCGGTCCGTGTTCAAATCCGGCGCGGCGTCAGACAAGTCAAGATTGTAAACAACGTTTCGCAATTGCGCTAGAACATATGCAGGCGCTCTCGTGGCCCATCGAGGAGTGAAACATCGACGGCATTCGCTTAACGCCATTCCCCTCTCGCAGCATATGTGTACTGTCAGGCTGAGCGACCCCGCCGTATTACCGCCAATCCCTGACATGCAAGAAGTCTCATATGCAAGAATGCCAGCAAAATTGGGTCTTTAAATCACGACAAGAAATACTCACGTGGAGCATAACGCTAAGCCATCCGTCGCTGCCGGCAATCAAGCTGCAGATAGCTGTTATGAATCTCCCGCACACTCCGTAGCATGTAGCATGACAAGGATCCATTTTTGGCTAAACCTCACGTTATTTTCGATGCACAGTTCACTACGACCTTTTACTATGCCTATAGTTGACGCCATGAATGAAACACACCACGTTTAACAAGTAAAAACTGCAGTTTCCAACAAAATGATTTTCACTCCTTTTTTGGCATTCAGAAGGCCATTTAGCGGAAATGGACCATAGATCTGTGTTCACTGCACCTGCCCCTATTTCATGCAAAAAACCGTTTTCAAAAAGCGCTCCACGCCCTGAACGACCTCCCCTCGTAGCGATCCTATATACATGCTTAGGAAATTGACCGACC